CCTACTAAATGCAACTTAGACTATAGAGTAGTTTCCTAAATTTTATTTTAATGTCCGTCTGGTTTAATACATTAGACACTGGTTTAGTATTTTTTTCTTTTCTCACAAAATTAAATCCTTTCGACGATATCGTGTGACGTCACAGCGTGTCACATTTTGTAGCACGTTGTGACGTCACGACCTCCCACTCCTAAACTTAACGCCATTTTATCTAAGTATTGTAACTTAATACGAGAAAATAAAAAAGTACGTGTCTAATTTTTTTCATTATCTAACTGACGGACTAATTAGATTTTTCATTTCCATACTCTAGCAACTACCTGCCCTATTAGACTCGCCAACAATTATATTTTCAAATACAAGTTGAGTCCAACATTTCCTAATGAAACAGAAATACTAGGTATATATACAGAAAAACTCAGAGGTCCGGTCTGTTCTAAACTAGACACAAAATACAATAATGTGGGAGACTCGTGCGAACGAGCAGAAGGATCCTTCGATGGTAAGCAATCAGTTGTACCGCGCTCACCATGGACAGGAGGACATGAGGCGGGAGGGAGTGTCAGACTCTTACTGACTAAAAAACACCCCGTTCCTACTCCTGCACGTCGAGCCGAAGCCCCGGTTACCCGTTAAGTGATCCGCGGTTCCGTTTTGCCATCAGCCCTATTGGGCCCCATCCGTGGTGGTCTGACGGCTCTTTAAGACGCTGACCATGGACTCCTAGAACCGCAATACTAAAACAGTCATAGATGCGTTGCTGACATGTAGAAAGAAGTAGGTACTAAGTATATCTAATGTTTTTGTAAAGGTTTGAAAACTAATTCACTAAGTGTGGGAGAGCCATGTTTTAAAATGACTGCCTCGTTCGCCAAGTGGTCGCAAGTACGACTGTCGGGCAAAGGGTCTTGGGTCAGATGCCCGAGTCGGGCAAAGTATTACTGGGTTTAAATAAATCCCAGTAGTAGCACGGAGTCTGGAATTGTGCCCGGTATATGGCAATAGACTCACCCCCTATTACATGGGACTCATAACATAAATAGTGAAAAGTAGCTGTTACAGTATAGTGGCATTAAGTGCCGTAATGTGCACCTCTGTCTACGCCTTCGGAGATAAAAGGCGTGATGTTATGTTACACTGTTTGCGATCGCTTTACCAAAGTTATAATCAATTCCTATAATGTATAAATATTGTATTATAGAAAAAAATACTTCTGTGTTCAATCTAACTGATGATCTGTCTTACATCAAAACCTGTTCAGCCTGGTTCATAGGATTGACTGGAATCTATACATCTATACAGATTAATAAAATTAAAGTGTCTGTTTGTAATATTAAATTAGATTAGTAGAATGTATTTGTGTCAACTTGGAGTTGTCATGCTCACTCAAAGGTCTCATTGGCGGTGGCGCGTGCAGTAGATCGCTCGATTCCCTACAATATGGTTGAGTTGGGCGGTGCTGGTGTACGTGTCATGTTCGTGAACGGGCGCCGCCAACTGGGACTGGTCAGCTCCAGACTGTATTATTTATTTGTCTTTAAGGTTATTTTCTTTTTTGATCACTTTGACTAGATTTTAGTGTTACATTGTTCTCGCACAATCCAAACAGCAAACTATGTAACTAGAGAATTGTATTGTGAACCTGATGGAAAAAGAGTAACCTATGGAGTTTCTTGCTCGTTCTTCTCCATAGGAATCTACACCTTGGAATGAGCAAATAGCTTCACTTTTAATTTTATTGTTGACGTTCAAAAGTGCCTTTCTGGTCTAATTGAAATAAATGATTTTGACTTTTTTTTACTTTTAAAATAACCCCTTTTTACTACACACATAATTATGAACATACATAAAAAAATACAAAATAACATTTTTTCTAATTTTGGTCTGTCTGTCTGTTTGTACTTAGCTAATTTCTGAAATGGCTGGACCGATGTTGCAAAACTTTTATTGGCAGGTAGCTGATGTACTAAGGAGTAACATAGGCTACTCTTATTTTGGAAAAGTTTAAACAAAAAAGTTATTAACTGAAATCGCGGGTTACTCACGTGAATATACTGAGAAAAGCTCTCTAGTTTCGAACCACAGAGGGGTTCTTTCTCATGAGCAGCGTGCGCGGTCGCGGCGACGTCGCGCAGCTCAATGGATAACTCACTCAATAATCACGTGAGTATTCACCCGCGATTTTAGTTAATTTAGTATGTACCACGATAGTTACAAAACAAAAACATTTATGGTCTAAAATTCATGTTCTACTCGGACAAAGTCGCGGGCAACAGCTAGTACTGAGTATATTATGTAGATGTTAATGATAAATACAAATACATTTATAAGTACATACATAGATATAACTAGGTACACCTACGTAACTAAGTGCTTTGTCCGCACGACGCGTGGGATCCCCTGACCTGGGTGCTTACTCTAGGAACTAATCTCAATGTCTATGATATTTCAGTTCTTTTTTTTATGGCAAAAGCCGGTAAACTAGCAAACCGATCACCTGATGGTAAGCAATCGTCGTCGCTCATGGACACCTGGAACACCAGAGGCGTTACAAGTGCGTTACCGGCGTTTTAGGATTAGGAGTTTGAGGATCGTTGGGGATTCAGGGATTGGGGAGATTGGGGAAGTGGCAGGGGGGGGGGGGGTAATTGGGCCTCCGGTAACCTCAGTCACGCACAACGCAAGCGTTGCTTTACGTCGGCTTTTAGCTCGGCCGTGGTATCACTCCGGTCGAGACGGCCCATTCGTGCCGAAGCATGGCTCTCCCACACATTAATCTCAAATTTCTAAACCTTAAATTTCAATCTCAATAATTATCGAATATCAAAACTATACAACCCCTATCGTAGCTGTTACAATAGCATTCAGAGTACGAAATATACAGACAAACTGAATACCATTTATATTTATTATAATTAAATAAAAAATAAGATAGTTATTATAAAAACAAACTCAATACCATTTAGTTCATTCAATATCCACACAATACGGATGCAGGCGCTAGTGTTGCATCTCGAGAGTACGAAATTTCACAATACCAATGTCGATCGATCGGAATGGGATTCAAGAGTAAGCCCCTATTCAGAGTCTGATGTAGTCATGTAACTCGTTAAGAAAACACGTTTTTAATAAAGCCTTTGCCTTTAATAAAATAACAAAAAAAAAACATAAAAATATACCTGTACTTGGTTTATATTTATAATTTAGGAAGCACAGCCTGAATTGATTAGAATATACCTCTATAGTTATATGGAGTTTCTTGCTCGTTCTTCTCCACTCGAATCTACTTTTGGAACGAGCACCTAGCTTCACTGACGGACAGACTGGCAGACTATCACTTATTTTGTATTTGTTGACGTTTCAAAACTACCTTAACATATCATCACGCCTTTTATCCTCGAAGGGGTAGGCAGTTGTGAACATTGCGGCATTGCCACTGTACAATGTAAAATCCACTTTTCACTATTTATTTTTTATGAGTCCCATATAATAGGGGGTGAGCCTGATACTTTTCCCGACCCGGGAATCGAACAACGAGACCCCTTGCCCTTGCAGTCGCACTTGCGACCACTCAGACGACGAGCAGTCCCAAAGTACCATATTATGGTTTAATTGAAATAAATGCTTTGATTTTGCCCTTGTACCTCCCACTTTCTATCAGTTACAAGAACCAAGCAATAGGGAGCGAGTACTTAGACATACTTGACTGTTTTTAGAAAAAAATTAGAAAAACTGAATATTTTTTTAATTATTTTAATCGACTCAGGAATCGAACTGGTAGCCTCTTGCATGTCTGTCCATTGGCAACCACTCATTCATCTATTAATGCAGTCAATTACAAATATTATTTAAAAAACAAAAAATACTGAATATATTTGGTTGAAAAAAATAGGGTACATGCACCTATAGCCGTTAGACAACGAAAATAATATAACATAAAACAAACATGTACAAATAATGGAATGTTTGCAGAAAACGCGTGTAGTTTGCTGAGCGGAGTCATTGACATATTGTTGTTATATAGTGTCGCATAGTTTCACACGGAGGTCGCCGAGCGACTCATTACAGCGCTTTGTTTACCTCGCAAATAGTAAAATTGAAAACAATCATCTGTCATTAGATGCGAGGTTCTACGTACTTGCAGCGGTCACGGATACTTCCTGATGCACAGTTATTTATCACAAGTTTTCTACTTATATTATGCACCTAATGAGTTAAGACGAGACGAAAGTTATTGGCTCCCTTAATATTTTAGGTACTAAATTGAGTTCGAATTACTTATGACTTTTTCGCATTTATTTATTATGTTCAAGCATACTTCTTAAAGCTAATTCAAGAGGAAAAGTACACGGTCGATGCAAAAAATTATGACCATTCTCCACTGTAAAGTAGTTTTTGTTATTTTAGATTTATGTACTTGGTCCATGTTTTGTTTCAAGCGCAGCCATTTGGCCATGACTTGTTCACGCGTGATTTTTACATCGAGTCATGTAATTACAAGTTAGTAGCGCGGCTGTGTCTGCGCTGCGAGCCTCAGTGCTGAGTACCCTCGACCTTGCGACGGCGGCGCGCGGCGGCGGGCGCTGGCCTGCGCGCGATACACTCGCACACCTCACACAGCTGATCCACATCACCCTCCGGCCAAGTCACGTCTATATTTCATAAGCTCCGAGCACGAAACTTGTGGAGGTCACACGGGCATAAATAAACAGTGAGAGAGCTGGCTGGCTGCGCTCCGCATCCGGCGCGAAGCCCTATCGTGGAGGGGCTGCGAGCCGGCCCGAGCCGAGCTGCTAATACGCATCGACGCAATATCCTTTGTAAGACATGCTACGTCCCACTCGCCAGCGGAGCGCGCGACAGGGACGGGGCGCTACGGTTGACACGAAGAAGCCTAGCTTAGCGTTCCGGGCGTGACGTCACGGGGGCGCGGGGTACCGCGGCGCGGAGGGGCGCGAGGGCGCGGGGTGGCGCGGGGTGGCGCGGCGCAGCGCCGGCAGTGTACGGCCGGCCGCTACATCGCGCGGACGGATGCACGATGCGTGCACGGTGAAACAAACAATCGCGATGCTGTTTGAGAGTCCCAACGCGAAACTGTACCCGGCGTTCAACATCCCGCCGCCCGTGAGGCTCAGGTGAGCAGTGTGTGCCGCGGTGTCTGTGACCACCGCTTGTTGTGTTCAAGTGTCAGTGTTCGTAGTTTTTGCCGAAGCCATAAAAAATGCCTATAAAGTGTTGTTATGTACGGCGGGCGCGCCGCAGCCGCGACAGTGCGTCTGTCCAGTAACGCTCCAGCGACCGACGAATGAAACGTCGATACGACGTCGCCGCTCTATATTTTTTTCTCACAACCAACCATTATTGTGTTCCGAGTGATCTTAATGTGAATCGTATCGTACCTAGTGATGTATGGCGCACGAACATGTCCGATGGCGTCTCGTTTCCATCTCGATATCCGAGGCAATTGCATCGGAAGCTCCCGTCGCTTCTACTATAAATAGTATTCAATTCCGTTCAATTGCCGACTGATCGAGACAATCGATTTGCTCAAATCACGGCCGAGTTTGGTTCAAAACGAAAATCGTTCCTGATCGCTTTGTCTCACGACATTCGAGAGCCTGGAGACAGTGGCGATGGAACTGTTGCTTCAGCTGAGCGCAGTAAGTGCACGCTCGACTTGTATGGAGAGGAGTTTCTGTCAACAAATCGTTTTGCATGGATCGATGTCTGGTGTCGCTGAACGTGAGCCGGCCGCCGACTGGTTCTCGGAAACGTGTCGAGTCGTCACCGTGTCGGTCACGTCGCGTCGCTGTAAACACGGCGGCTTCCTGTTGCGCCGAGCCGCATAGCTCAGCTATACAGGGCTTAACTTACTTGTGCTAAAGCAAATCGTTAGAACACTGCGGTTGGGCAATGCTTCGTGCGCCCAGACTCTGTAATTTATGTGTTTCCAGTCATTTTTGCTCAGCGAAGTTAATCCGACTGTAAGTAGTAGTTTTGGGCTCTTTACGGGCCATTTGGCATCCGTAATGCCATGTTTGGCACTGAAACGAAGCGTTTAGGGAGTTATAAACTTCGCAAGAAGATAAACGACACACTAATAAGGGAAACATTAGCAATGTTGCCGTTTAATAACCTCACATCATCCACAGTTTGTCTCAAGTAGTCCACATAACAACACACCGAGTCCTGTATCGACATTCACGGGGTCGTTTACCCATGCAGACAGTATCTGGTGTAGCGATCAGGCTCCGAGCTACAATAGCTGCCCGCCACCGTACAGTTACCGGGTCCCTCGTCCCTCGTCCTCTACAACCCAATTCCCTCATTTGGCTAAACAAAGCCCTCGTCTGAACCACTTTTTTATTGTTTCGTTTTGTGAACAATGGTTTGTTCGCTTTGTTGTGGTAGGAGGGCACTCGTGTAACTACGACAGTTCATACAGGATGATATGTGAGGCCCTCTCTCGCGAGAATATCTTCGAAACGTTTGCTATTTATGTTCGTATCTTTGAAGCTTCCGTTTACTAGGAAACACTTACGCCGACATTACAATCTCAACAGTTTGGATGGACGATATGAATCTTTCTCTCTGGGGATAAATATAGATTTAAGAGCACTTCACTATTGAAGAAGTCTTTTAAACTGACGAAAATGAAATTGAGTTTTCACAACTGTCTTGCGCAGTATTCAAATAGAAAACCTCGTATTCTTTTAAAGAGCATGCAACGACATCTATGTAAAATACTATTTAAATGAACTTCAAAATGTCTTATAGATTTGTGGCAGGAGATTGACTTCCCGAATCGAATTGGAATAGAGTTGTGTGTAGGACGCTTACACTCGATAATTGACTTGCGTTTTATTGTGAAGCACTTTAATGCTAATGTTAACAAATGGAGTTCCTTTGTACGACATAATCCGCTACTTGGAACCATGTATTTTCGAGTTTGTTACGGAAAAACCCCACAAAAGGCCAAATTACCTTATTTTTGAATACAGTCACGATTTCTATTATACCGCCGGTTATTATGACAGCGTGTTTTTATATCAAAAACTGATGAAAACTGTATCAAAAGGAAATGTTCTTCAATTTTGTTGTAACCGAACTGACTTTCAATTTAAGTGCTTATAATTGCAGCGCGTTTACGATAATTGTATTCAAATCCGCTATTTTTAAATTGAAAATGGTTCTCACGGAAAGTAAAACAACATTTAAGTAATAAATCTAATATTGCACATAATAACGATTATTTTCTACAAAAAAACACGAAATTCTTATTAGGCGACCAACTGCAAAAAAGCTGTTTTTTTTTAAAGTTCCAATTGACAGCTACAAGGTGTTTCACCCTACAACATCTGTGACACGAAAAAAAATACATTACAGTATTATTTTCCGTTAAATATGTTAATACAGACAGCTGATTTATTACAAATATACAATTTCTATAATTCCTATAAGAATATTAAAAACATACATTATTCTATGTAAATAAGTGCCTACACTATCTTGTACCGAGTCCTGGCCAACGAGCTAAATGAATTCGACCGATATATTGCGATGCGATTGCTGAATGATAAATCATTGAATACTGACACGTGTTTCTTCTACACATACATACAAACAAACATTATGTATAGGCAATACTAGCCATTTGCGTATACATAATGTATTTATGTACATTATTTAGAGATATCAGAAATTAATCGTCGATTTTAATGTACCAGGACCACAGGAATTACAAGCGGTCATTCACTAAAGTTGTTATCCTGTAGGAACCGTATATTTTGTAAGGATAAGTAGGTAGCCTATTACATCTCTTTGGCAAGTTTTAAGTTCGACTCTGTATTGTCATAATAGGTGAGGATCATGTAAAGTATTTGTGGGGTTGTAAAAAAACATTTTTTTGAAAAGAGTATCGATGGAGTTTCTTGCTCGTTCTTCTCCATTCGAAACTACATTTTAGACCCAGCGCCTAGATTCACTGACAATTCAACTTGATGACGTTTAAAAGTGCTCAAGGAATATAAATGCTTTGACTTTGACTTTGTCAAGTTGCATCCAAATGTTGCTGACAGACAAACAGATATGGAATTTAATAATAACATTCTTATTGTTTTATCTACGCAGCACGTAACATAACATATTTATGCTGATGTATCCGCGAGCGAGGTACCAGGACTGCATAACACCCAGGATGTATACCGCAATACAATTTCATTAAAAATACTTCACTTAAGACAGCATTAAGCATTATCGTTCTACGTTTTAAACAATATCATGTATCAAGCATTGCATTGCGTGTTTACTCCGATAAAGTATAATGTTGCCGGAATAATAAAATGAAATAATAATGGGAATATTATTTAAACGAGAAAGTTTGTCAACATAACTAACAACGTGTGTTAAACACAAACATGCTAAATAGCTGAACATATTTTGATGAAAACGTACACAAAGATTGTGACTTACAGCGACTGAAAACTGTACTGGATAATAATTTTACTATAAGCGCTAAAAATGTGTTCATTTATAGTGTGTGCGTTTTCATAGAAACAAGAGCTTTGGAAAATAATACATGTTTAATTCATTGAGAAGAGTGTGGATTGAAAGATGATGTAGTGACAAGGATTGAAAAAGGAATGTTACACTGGTTTGGACATGTAGAAAGGATGGATGAAAGTAGAGTAACGAAAGAAGTATACAGAGCGGATATGAATGGGGCCGTCGGTAGAGGGCGCCCTAGACGGACATATAGTGACCAGATTGGCGATGTATTAAAGAAGGGCCAAATTAAAAGTACCCTTAACCGACGAGCATGCATGAAAGACTGATGACTGTTGATGAAACGAAAGAGGTATGTAGGAATCGTAGTAATTGGCGTTCCCTAGTCTCTGCCTACCCCCATGGGAGACAAGTATGAAGTTTTGTATGTATGTATGTTTAATTCACATGTTCATAGAGAATCATAAATCAATGGACATACATACATGTTGATGAAAAATAATAAATAATCTCACGTGATAATATCGTCAACTTCCGGAGACACCAGGCGATCATAGCGGCCAAGCATGTTATGTTTCACCTAGCCATACAATAGAGAAAAGACTTAAATAACGGCGAGGGCTTCATAAACAAAGAGTTAACTCGTCGAATGGCTAATTGTTCTAGAAATGTGGAGGAGCCGCGCTGGTGACATCAGCGCTTGGAAACCGAAGCGTTGTTATTGCAAACATCATAATTATTGAAATTCATAAACGATATGAGAATTAATTAGGAAAACAAACAAACACTGTTATTGAAACAAATGTTAGTTATAAAAAATATTCTTTGGAGCGAGCAATTACTGCGAGAGAATCGTTAGCAGGGAGTTTGTGGACGTGTGCTCGATCTATATTAGGTCCACATGAATCTGTCGTACTCAAAGACTCATAATAACGATTGTATTTCCAAAACAATTGCTAAGGACTGGGTTAATGACTTCGATGCTCGTTTTCTCCAACTCCTTAAACTAAGATATTTTGACGTCATTTTTGTTTTTATCAACCTGTAAGTGACACTTAACAGTATAAATAAGGGGTTACTCTAGGTGCTACGTCGTTCTAAGTATCTTTTAGTGTAGGGGTGGTCTGTGAAATAGACATAATCGACCCTCAAAGTGTTAAATATGTATAATCAGGAGAGTACCAGGCGAAGTGACACCCAAAGCGTTCCTCATACAGTGTACCAGGACCACAGAAGTTAACAAGCAGTTAGCGATCCTCCCTCAGTATTCAATTATGCAAACTGGAGCTAATACCCGCGCTCCAACTATTCCTTTTAATTCGATTTGAATCTCATAACTTCGCTTGACGACTGGCCGTGCCTCTACGTACTCATGTGTTCCTGGTACCTGCAGTGTAAACAATTAAGGTGTCACTTCGGTTTTCTTAGAAATTCGAATATCTTTTGAGTGAAGTAGACTGAAACTTTACATAAATACATTATGTATTTTGTAGGTCTTCTTCAAAATATTACTTAATATTAAATACTACATAGCTTCTGGCAACGGCTTCGCCCGCGTTCCCATGTTACAAAAAGTACCCTATGTCTTATTCCAGACTACTCCTAACTCAAAATTCATCCCGATCCCTTC